ATGTTGGCCAGGTTGGTCTCCAACTCCTGACCTCAAGTGATCTGCCTGCCTCAGCCTCCCAAAGTGCTAGGATTATAGGCATGAGCCACTGTGCCCCTGCAATATTCTTCTACTGCTCAAGACCAAGACCAAGTCATCCACCTTTGCTCCTAATTCTACTGGCTCTGATCTGAATGTTTATGTCCTCCCCAAATTTATGTGTTGAAATCCTGATCCTCAAGGTGATGGTATCAAGATGACTGTGATTAGCACCCGTGTGAAAGAGGCTCAAGAGAGCTAGCTAGACCCTTCTACTATGTGAGGGCACGGCAAGAAATCTGAAGTCTACAATCCAGAAGAGAGCATTCACCAGAACCCAACAAAGCTGGCATTCTGATATTGGACTTCCCAGGCCCCAGTGCTGTGAGCCATACATGTCTGTTGTTTATAAGCCACTCAGTATTTTATAGTATTTTGTTATAGCAGCCCCAATAGACAAAGACACAGCCACAGATGGTTTTCCCCAGGACCTGGCTTTTTCAGTCATACCCTCTTTATCTTGAATTTCTTCCTCTCAACACTTTCCCTTTTTTTTTTTAGATGGAGTCTTGCTTTGCCGCCCAGGCTGGAGCGTAGTGTCATGATCTCGGCTCACTGCAAACTCTGCCTCCTGGGTTCAAGCGGTTCACACTGCCTCAGCCTCTGGAGTGGCCAGGACTACAAGCACGTGCCACCACACACCGGCTAATTTTTGTATTTTTAGTACAGATGGGGTTTCACCATGTTGGCCAAGCTGGTCTCGAACTCCTGACCTCAGGTGATCTACCTGCTTCGGCCTCCCAAAGTGCTGGGATTATAGGTATGAGCCACTGTGCCTGGCCTTTTTAAAATTTATTTTATTTTATTTTATTATACTTTAAGTTCTGGGGTACATGTGCAGATCATGCAGTACTATTACATAGGAATACACATGATATGGTGGTTTGCTGCCTCCACCCCCCATTACCTACATTAGGTATTTCTCCTAATATGTCCCTCCCCAACCTCTGACCTCCTGCTATCGCTCCCCTAGGTCCCCACCCCCCACAACAGACTCCACTGTGTGATGTTCCCCTTCCTGTGTCCATGTGTTCTCATTGTTCGACACCGACTTATGAATGAGAATATGCAGTGTTTGGTTTTCTGTTATTGTGTCAGTTTGCTGAGAATGATGGTTTCCAGATTCATCAGTGTCCTGCAAAGGACATGAACTCTTCCTTTTTTATGGCTGTATAGTATCCCATGGTGTATATGTGCCACGTTTTCTTTAACCAGTCTATCCTTGATGAGCATTTGGGTTGGTTCCATGTCTTTGCTATTTTAAATAGTGCCACAATGAACATAAGTCTGCATGTGTCTTTATAATAGAACAATGTATACTCCTTTGGATATATACCCAGTAATTGGATTGCTGGGTCAAATGGAATTTATATTTCTAGGTCCTTGAGGAATCGCCACACTGTCTTCCACAATGGTTGAACTAATTTACACTCCCACCAACAGCGTAAAAGTGTTCCTATTTCTCCACATCCTCTCCAACGTCTGTTATCTCCAGATTTTTTAATGATTACTATTCTACCTGGCCTGAGATGGTATCTCACTCAATGCGGTTTTGATTTGCATTTCTCTAATGACCAGTGATGTTAAGCATTTTTTCATATGTTTCTTGGCCTCATATATGTCTTCTTTTGTGAACTGTCTGTTTATATCCTTCGCCCACTTTTGAATGGGTTTGTTTGTTTGTTTCTTGTAAATCTGTTTTAGTTCTTTGTAGATTCTGGATATTAGCCCTTTGTTAGATGGGTAGATTGCAAACATTTTTTCCCATTCTGTTGGTTGCCAGTTCACTCTAATGATTGTTTCTTTTGCTGTACAGAAGCTCTGGAGTTTAACTAGATCTCATTTGCCTATTTTGGCTTTTGTTGCCATTGCTTTTGGTGTTTTAGTCATGAAGTCCTTGCCTATGCCCATGTCCTGAATGGTATTGTATAGGTTTTCTTCTAGGGTTTTTATGGTGTTAGGTCTTATGTTTAAATCTTTAATCCATCTGGAGTTAATTTTTGTATAAGGAGTAACTAATGGGTCCAGTTTCAAAATTCTGCACATGGTTAGCCAGTTTTTCCAACACCATTTATTAAACAGGGAATCCTTTCCCCTTTGCTTGTTTTTGTCAGGTTTGTCAAAGATCAGATGGCTGCAGGTGTGTGGCATTATTTCTAAGGCCTGTGTTCTGTTCCATTGGTCTATGTCTCTGTTTTGGTACCAGTACCATGCTGTTTTGATTACTGTAGCCTTGTAGTAGTTTTAAGTCAGGCAGCGTGATGCCTCCAGCTTTGTTCTTTTCTCTTAGGGCTGTCTTGGCTATGCGGGCTCTTTTTTGGTTCCATATGAAGTTTAAGGTGGTTTTTTTCCAGTTCTGTGAAGAAGGTCCATGGTAGCTTGATGGGAATAGCATTGAATCTATAAATTACTTTAGGCAGTATGGCCATTTTCACGATATTGATTCTTCCTAACCATGAGCATGGCAAACAATACAAAAACAGGAAATACTCCCTAAATCATTTTATGAGACCAGCATCATCCTGATACCAAACCCTGGCAGAGACACAGCTAAAAACGAATATTTCAGGCCAATATCCACGATGAACATCGATGGAAAAATCTTCAATAAAATACTGGCAAACTGAATGCAACAGCACATCAAAAAGCTTATCCATTACAATCAAGTAGGCTTGATCCCAGGGATGGAAGGCTGGTTCAACATACGGAAATCTATAAACATAATCCATCACTGGTTGGAGCAGGTAGATCAGAGATTCCTCTTGGATTATTATAATTGGAAAAGGAGTGATGTGAGTTGCTTGGAACAGGGTATTCACAGATGCCATAATCTGGTCAAAACACCCAGCAAGGCCTCCCAGTGTCACGATCACATCAACCTTTAAGTCATTTTCTTCTATCTTCTTTTGAAGCATTTTAAGGCACTTAGTAAAATCAGTGTGGTCTTGATCAGGAGTTGAAATAAGCTCACATCCCTTAGTAGCGTAGTATTCTCTGACTTCAGGCCTAATAGAATCAAAGTCTCCACTGATGAATTCAGGCAAAAAGCTTTCTCTCTCTCCTTCAGTGATATCATATAAGCGGTTGGCACCTCCATCAGCACAGGCTCTTAAAAGAGCTTTGTTCCAAAGATGACGAATATAGTTGTCCAAAGGCTGATTAAGAATTACAAGGCAGTACTTCAAACTCCACAATGGCGGGTGGAGCCACAGAGCGGGGAGCACAGGCTGCCGCAGCGACAGGAATCAACCGCTCGGCTCCTTTTTTTTTTTTTTTTTTTTTTTTTTGATGGAGTCTCGCTCTGTCACCCAGGCTGGAGTGTAGTGATATGATCTTGGCTCACTGCAACCTCCTCCTCCCGGTTCAAGCAATTCTCCTGCCTCAGCCTCCCAAGTAGCTGGGATTACAGATGTGCACCACTACCGCCTGGCTAATTTTCGTATTTTTAGTAGAGATGGGGTTTCACCAAGTTGGCCGGGCTGGTCTTGAACTCCTGACCTCAAATGATCCACCTGCTTTGGCCTCACAATCTTTCCATTTTCTCAACAAATATTTACTAAGTTCCTACCAAGCAGAATAGAATACAACCCTATGTCTAAGCCTATGAACATGTTCAAGTTACTCACACACTAAAACATAACAAACATACAAACAAAAAACTTTCCCTGATCTTTCATTCCTCTCTAGCTTCTCTTCTCTCTCATTCCCTTCCCCAAATCAGATCTGATCATTTTCCTCCCTAAACCTGTTTATTTCCTAGTTTCTCAAACTTAGTTCATGTGACCACCATCAAAATTAGAAATATGGGAAGTGGAAGGATCACTTGAAGCCAGGAGTTAAGAACTGGCCTGGGCAACATAGTGAGATCCTGTCTCTACATAGAAAACATTATGACAGAGCGACAGAGCAAGACGCTGTCTAAACACAAACAAACAAAACCCAGCCAACAAACAAACAAAAACCAAATTAGAACCATGGAAATTAGATCTCTTGCCATCCTTCATATACATTTTGTCAATAACCAAGTCCTTCTTCTTTTCCCTCCTTAAAAATCTGCCTCAGTTTCCTAGGTCTGTCCTCTTTCTCCTTATCCAGTTATGGCCCTCAATAGTATTTTGACAAAACTATAGGAATACAGTTTTAAGGAATCTGCTTGCCTCCCGTCTTATTTTTTTGTCTGTCCTCTATATGCATCTAGAATTACTTACACACATGAATCTAATCACGTCACTTCTCTTCTTAAATGCTTTTAACAGCTTTCTCTGCCTACAGCTTAAGTCCAAGCTTAAGCTTTTACCATGGCTTACAGGGCCTGCGTGACCTGACCAGACTCATCCTCCACAAATCCAATCATGCACTTTACACTGTAATAAATCTGCATGTTTCTTGAATAATGGCATGCTTTTTAAACATTTTTCCACTCCAGACCTTGTTCCTGCAACCCAGAAAACCCTGCCCATGTTTGTTCACCTGAAAATTACATGTTCATCCTTCCACATCCACTCAAGCAGCACTTTCTCCAAACCTCTGAATACCAGCTGGCCCAAGTACTCCAGCTCTGTGCTCCCTTATTACCTTATGCATACTCTTTCTTCCTTCCTCCCTCCCTTCTTTCCTTCCTTCCTTGGCAGAGTTTCACTCTTGTTGCCCAGGCTGGAGTGCAATGGCACCATCTCAGCTCCCCGCAACCTCCGCCTCCTGGGTTCAAGCAATTCTCCTGCCTCAGCCTCCTGAGTAGTTGGGATTATAGGCATGCGCCACCACACCTGGCTAATTTTGTACTTTTAGTAGAAATGGGGTTTCTCCATGTTGGTCAGGATGGTCTTGAACTCCCGACCTCAGGTGATCCGCCCACCTCAGCCTCCCAATGTGCTGGGATTACAGGCATGAGCCAC